TGCAATTTTTGTTTTGATTTGAAAGGGGACATATGGAGCTATCCCGTGGTATATGGGGTTATGAACCGAAAATCCTCGTTTTTTCATAATCAATCAAAAGATTTCAATATTTTCACATTGGATTACATTACAGCATTTATCTGTGGAATTGTCCCTATTAGCAACATAAGAAATTACTAAAACTGCTATTATTTGGCTCAAAACCTCTCAGAATGAGAGATATGTGACGTAAAATGTTTATTGGACGATGGCCCATAAGGATCTGATCGGGAGAAACTAAAAAATAATGCTGAATCAGCTTTTTTTCTTTTTTTGACTTCAAAATTACGGGTTTTGACGATTATTAGGCACTGTTTGGCATTAACCATCGGAAAGTTGCCTGAAATGTCATTGTTTGTAGGCCTGCGAACTGTCATATAAAGTATTGAATATTTTTTGCCATATTTTGCTTGGTAAAGGATGTATTGTAACATTTTTAGATGTCAGAATTTCTCAGCCTAATTTTTCCGAGGGATGTCAACATATTTGAACAAAATAAATGGCTGAATTTGATCTTTTAAGGCTACAATTGGGAATAATTTCATGAATGGTATCTAATTAGCCAAAATTAATCTATAATTTTGATTTAAGAAGAAGTTAAACAGTAGAAAACCAGTGAAAACTGACTAATTTAGTCAGCTTTTGGCTAATTTTGCCCAAAAATTGGCCAAATTAATGTGTCATGGTCCAGTGATTTTTGCCAATAAAACACTTTGATCAATATAAATAAGTTTGCTCGACTCTTTGGAAGCTCAATTTTATAGATCCGAGTTAATGTAACCATTTAAATGTAGAAATGTTGAATTCTCAAGAAAAATTTTTGGCCTAAATTCGAACCACCCCAAGGTTAGTTAAGTACCCATAAAATGCCCAATTGTCTATATATCATTCTTAAACTGCACAAACAATCTTGAAACTCTTCATTCTTTCATAAAAATATCATTTTTCACCAAAAATCATCGAACCATGGCACTATTAGGCATAACTCCACAGATGGCGCTAGTGAAAAGGTAGAAGACAAAAAATCTAAATTTAAAATCGGGATGATGGTTGATTGAAATCAATATTTATCAGTGCAATCACCAGTGAAAATGTACAGATTTTATATTTTATTTTGTTTATCTCGTGTGTATATAATTTTACAAAAAGTATGGCGAAATGATTCGGTTCACTTCAAATATTTGACTTTTTGTGACGGTGGTCTTGAGTTTGAAATCTATTGAAAATTGTTTAAAATTCGGATAGATGGCAGAAAAAGCAGTCATATCTTTTTTTTCTCAATGGGTGTTCTATGCAATTTTTGTTTTGATTTGAAAGGGGACATATGGAGCTATCCCGTGGTATATGGGGTTATGAACCGAAAATCCTCGTTTTTTCATAATCAATCAAAAGATTTCAATATTTTCACATTGGATTACATTACAGCATTTATCTGTGGAATTGTCCCTATTAGCAACATAAGAAATTACTAAAACTGCTATTATTTGGCTCAAAACCTCTCAGAATGAGAGATATGTGACGTAAAATGTTTATTGGACGATGGCCCATAAGGATCTGATCGGGAGAAACTAAAAAATAATGCTGAATCAGCTTTTTTTCTTTTTTTGACTTCAAAATTACGGGTTTTGACGATTATTAGGCACTGTTTGGCATTAACCATCGGAAAGTTGCCTGAAATGTCATTGTTTGTAGGCCTGCGAACTGTCATATAAAGTATTGAATATTTTTTGCCATATTTTGCTTGGTAAAGGATGTATTGTAACATTTTTAGATGTCAGAATTTCTCAGCCTAATTTTTCCGAGGGATGTCAACATATTTGAACAAAATAAATGGCTGAATTTGATCTTTTAAGGCTACAATTGGGAATAATTTCATGAATGGTATCTAATTAGCCAAAATTAATCTATAATTTTGATTTAAGAAGAAGTTAAACAGTAGAAAACCAGTGAAAACTGACTAATTTAGTCAGCTTTTGGCTAATTTTGCCCAAAAATTGGCCAAATTAATGTGTCATGGTCCAGTGATTTTTGCCAATAAAACACTTTGATCAATATAAATAAGTTTGCTCGACTCTTTGGAAGCTCAATTTTATAGATCCGAGTTAATGTAACCATTTAAATGTAGAAATGTTGAATTCTCAAGAAAAATTTTTGGCCTAAATTCGAACCACCCCAAGGTTAGTTAAGTACCCATAAAATGCCCAATTGTCTATATATCATTCTTAAACTGCACAAACAATCTTGAAACTCTTCATTCTTTCATAAAAATATCATTTTTCACCAAAAATCATCGAACCATGGCACTATTAGGCATAACTCCACAGATGGCGCTAGTGAAAAGGTAGAAGACAAAAAATCTAAATTTAAAATCGGGATGATGGTTGATTGAAATCAATATTTATCAGTGCAATCACCAGTGAAAATGTACAGATTTTATATTTTATTTTGTTTATCTCGTGTGTATATAATTTTACAAAAAGTATGGCGAAATGATTCGGTTCACTTCAAATATTTGACTTTTTGTGACGGTGGTCTTGAGTTTGAAATCTATTGAAAATTGTTTAAAATTCGGATAGATGGCAGAAAAAGCAGTCATATCTTTTTTTTCTCAATGGGTGTTCTATGCAATTTTTGTTTTGATTTGAAAGGGGACATATGGAGCTATCCCGTGGTATATGGGGTTATGAACCGAAAATCCTCGTTTTTTCATAATCAATCAAAAGATTTCAATATTTTCACATTGGATTACATTACAGCATTTATCTGTGGAATTGTCCCACCATGCATTGTTTGGATTATCATCATTTTTAGGGCGATGGCCGGGTGTTCTTGGGTATTTAACTTCAAGTGATGGCTACACAAGCTCGCTGACTCTCTGGTATGCCTTCTGAGCACCTTTCATATGTTCTAGAAAAACATGGTACGCAATTCCCTAAAATTTCATGAAACTGTTATAATCGAAAGGAGCCCAAAGGAAATAACTAAACAAGCATAGTGTAACAAACCAGATGCAGATTATGAAAAAGGTGTAACTTCAACGCCCCGTGTGAGGATCGAACCAAGGACCCTTAAATCCTGAGACTGATGTTCTATCAACTGAGCTATAAAGGCTTAATTCTAATCGTTACAATACAAAATGGCTTGCCTTTCGATTGTTTCAAGTACTTACCGCGGTGTTGCAATAGCTCTTCATCTGTTAGTTGGAATCCAAGGTCTTTAGATATAGTCACCAACTGACCCAACGTCGGTAGATTAATAGCTGGAGAAACATAGATACCAGCATCTTCTTTATTTTCACTCGACATCATGAACTACAGCAATAGTGTTTTAGTAATACTTTGGTTAATACTCAAGGTCGAGTTCTATGCGCTATGTCACGTCGACATTCGTATTAGACTCGCCGTTGCTATAAAAACGCAATAAAACGCATCGTTAGTACCCCGGACAGGTTGTATGATGCAGTCGTTTTTTTACTCTATATTTGCAATAGAACAACCATTCTTATTAAAATTTTCATATTTAAATTCTGGAGACAATTTCCAACATGGAAAAAAAATATTTTAACGAAATTCCTAATTTTATGATTTTGATAGGCTTTTTTCAAAACCACTCCACTGTCAATAAAATACAGGTTTTGCTTGAACAATTCAACTTTTAACGTCATTTCAAAGATTGTCTAGTTATTGAATTTTTGGCCACCTAAAGTCTTTCCAGATGTATTTGATGCCATATTAATTATGGCTGATTAATGTTATTCATTTTTGTCATATTCAATAGACCTAATATTATTACAGTGCATTAGGCCAACGATAAACTTGTCACTCTTGGTCACGTTTCCTCTGAAAACGCATCTTTTTCTCCACTGGGTTTTTTCCGCCACCGTCACTCAGCATGCAAGCCAGTGGCACGTAAATTGCACCATGCTTTTAAAATGTCAGGTCTCCCTGACAATTTATGATAAGATTTGACACAGTTATATTAACATCCCTGAAGGATCTAATGCCAAGAATATTTGAAATTGGAGATTCGTAATGTTTTACTTCATTTTGGACAGTATTGAACAGTTCGATCAGGTTGAACTCATGTCCGTGGACAAGAAGATTGACCTCCTCTATCTGGGATCAATCTAGGGAACGCTTCACAAAACGAGACCCAGAGCAACAAGTTTTTATTGGCCGAATGCAATGCAATAATGTTGAATATGACTCAAGTGAATAACAATAATCAGCCATAATTATTAATATGGCAACAGATATATTTGGAAAGACTTTAGGCGGCCGAAAATTCAACATTTGAAATGACGTTAAAAGTTCAATTGTTCAAGCAAAAACCTGTATTTTATTGACAGTGTAGTGTTTTTTAAAAAAGCCCGTCAAAATCATAAAATTGGGAAATTTCATTAAAATATTTTTTTTCCATGTTGGAAATTGTCTCCAGAATAAAATATGAAAATTTTAATAAGAATGGTTGTTCTATTGCAAATATAGAGTAAAAAAACGACTGCATCATACAACCTGTCCGGAGTACCATAGAAAGGGGTCGTTTTATTAAGAGCTATACTGTTATTTCAATTGTATTGCCTGAGCTCTTGTGGTACTTCTCTGTAGCGAATTATTTATTTTATAAAAATAAATCTAAATACACTGAATTTCAAGATACATGTATATTGCCCAGAGTTTTTATGAACATAAATTACGTTGGATTGGGACAGGGATGATATCAGGATTAGAACGATTATATCAGAGATGATATTGATATCATCCCGGGTAAATTCAAAAACTTATCATTTTCATCTATTATCATTTTTTCGAAAATTTTCATCAAAAATATTGATATGGCGAAATGAATTGAACACATTTCTCTTAATTCTCTTTTCTTTATTCCTTATTCGCATTTGATTTATATAACAGTTAAATATGATCTTGTTACAATACAATGGATTTCGAAATCGTAAGTACATCTGAAAAACAATATTCAGTAAAGTATTGGTGAAGCAGTCGCCTGCCTCATGTTTGGGTTAGTCCATGCGTAAAGTATTAACCAGTCCGACATTTGTTCATCCAAACATGTCATTGGCAAATACAGTGACAGCCTATGACGATCTAAGTCCGCTCTCCAAAGATTTGGCTACTCGCAGGACAATGGCGTCTTCATGATGTCGTCCTGTTATCAAGGCACCAACTGGTAAACCCTCTGAGTAGCCGACGTTAATCGAGATTGCGGGGTGGCCAGTGATGTTTGCGGCAACTGTATTCTTTACCATAGATATCCCTTCACTAAGCAACTCTGAAAATGTACAGATGTGGATATGAAAAAGATGTGAATTTGAAAAAGATATGAATAGGGTTAAGGATAGATCGTTTTGAGTGACAACGTCAATATATCACAAGCATTGCTGTTTGAATTGTTAAACGTTTGTTATTTTGGCTGTGCGATCAAGTTCCTGTCTAAAGCGACTTTTAATTGAATAAAATCAATAAATTCTCAAATACATTGTTAGAGGGAGTGAGTTAATTGGACATAAAAAATACATTACAATATATGAATAAAAAATGATGAATATGATTATTGTGTTTTGCTTATTTTCTACTTACCATCGATACCAATGGACGATTCTGGTAGTTTCGGCGCTTTGTAATTGCACGTTGGCATAATCAAAACATCAACCTTCTCCAAAGCTTTGTTATATTCATCCGTAACAGCCTTGCAAAGATTTTGGGCTTTCCCATAGAACTTGCCGTCATAAAATCGCCTGGTGAATTCACCCCAAAGCGCATTTGCCTGCCGAGGTATTGGTAAGTCAAAGGGCCTTGCTTTAACTGCTTTTCGGTAGTGGTCAGTGATTGAGTTAGGGTAAAATCCCTTTCCCATACCTCCTCCTAAAACAAGGGTTTTCAATTAGCCATACTAAAATTTATTTTTTAAAAAGTATAAAGCTAGTATTAGTCTAGAATATTTTCAAATAAAAGCCTCTAGAAAGAGAGAGTTCTTACATTTTGGCGAGCACCCTAGAGACCTGTATCAAAATAATCCTTTATACATTACAAAAGATTTGTGAGATTTGCCAAGGTGAACGAGGTGTCGAAAGGCACTAATTAGACGATTAATTAGTATAGCATTCCTCATTTCTTAACTAGTTCAATCAATACAACCAGTGTTGATCCCCACATAAATGCCAAAACAGCTATTATCGATGTGTCAATTGTTTGATGCTCGGCATGTGCCAGTGCTTTGAAAAATCCATAGATTACAGTACTCAATCTGCTTTGATTAATTTTACTGAACTAGTAAACCAATAATCAGAATCACACTACAGCATTGCAGCTTTGTCTGCTCCTCAGATTCTCTCATAAGGGGGCTACTGTATTTATAGGTCTGTGATCACATAAAAGTACATGCTTATTTGATACATCCAATGGTTATTTTACTATACTGTAAGTAACCAATAATCAAGTCACGTTGTATTATGTGTTAAAAAGGTAGTCTAGCTACAAGCCTCTGTGACCCCTCCCCCTCTACTTGAGAAATCATCTCACACAGAGCCTGTAGCTAGACAGACACACAATAGTGCAATTAAGAAGAGATATTTTGATGTACCAAGCTAAGAAGATACTTGGTCTTGATCATGACTTGGTGCTAAGCCTGTCACAAAAGGTTTTCGTAATATGCTTGATATTTAAAATTGATTATACCAATGAAATTACAGTCAATAAACTAATGAGAATAATTATGAAATTAAGGTGGAAATCACATTAAAATATATATCAAATGCACTAGTATTAATCATGAGTTCTACATGTACATTCACACCAGACATACACTGCCCAATGGAAAGCAAAGCTTATTGGTCAGTGCCAATGAGCCCAACGTATTACTCCTGTAGGAAATCTAGGATCAAATGTACTGCTGGGTGCAAATATGATAACAGATTTGTGCAGTTCAAATCTTTGCTAATTATTAACATTAAATACTTTTTGAATCAACAATTAACATTGTTAATGGTGATGCTTTCAGTGTTAGTGATAATTTGATTTATTTATGATCAATTTTTACAAATTTCATCGACCATGTATCTTCTTGTAATAGAGGATACATTAAAATATTCATTGTAGATATCCGCTACATCACAGATAATTATATGGTGTTTTCATTAACTAACATATGAACTGGAATATACATAAAACAAAGGGTATACATAGCAGGGCCGTAGCCCGCTTTCAACCAGCTGAGGGGGGGGTGCGATCGTAGTATTTTAAAAATTGGTGCAACCTCCTTCAAAATTGAGCTAGAAACTTCAAAAAGTATTCTAAACCTCTCATCTCTTTTTCGTTGTATTTTTGGGGTGGGGTTGAAATCGCACCAACCGCAACCCCCTGTTTTAACTCCTTCCAGTAATGTTAATTCAAGTGCCTTTGAATTCGCAAGATACAAACCAAAAGACAATACCTCAAACAGCTTCGAAAATCTCTCAAAATTGATAAAAAATAGTTTTTCTCACTTTTTTATAATCAATCAGACTATATTTGTTAACGTTGAATTTAAAAAAAATATATTTCAATTTTTGAATTTCTCTTGTAAAAACGCCTTTTCCCCAAAAACACATTTTGACACCTATTTCATCTTGATAAATCTCAGTATCAATAAACAAACCATTGATTAAACATGGTATATTTCGTCTTTTTTGAGTCAACTAGACTTAATCGTTTTTCTAAAAACGTTCTTTTTAACATAAAATTATTTTTGCAAAAACACATTTTTTACCCAAAAACTTACTTAGACTTCATCTTGGCAAATCTCAGTATCAACCCTTTACCTTTCAATTATATACCATGGTTAAGCTGCTCGTCAAAAAATGTTAATGGTGTCATCATATATTGAACACACTCGCTTTAGTCGATATTGCATGCAAATCACAAAGAAAAAACTATTGAGCTCCCAAAATCCCCCTCGTTGATTAAACATGGTATATACTAGACAGTATTTTATATAATAAATTTTCAAAAATATTGATCAATTCAATTTTTTGGGGCAAAAAGCACATTTTTACCCAAAAACTCACTTTGACACCTATTTCATCTTGGCAAATCTCAGTATCAATAAAGGAACCCTTTACCTTTCAATTATATACCATGGTTAAGCTGCTCGTCAAAAAATGTTAACGGTGTCATCATATTTTGAACACACTAGTTTAAGTCGATATTGCATGCAAATCATTTTTGAGAGTCAACTAGACTGTATTTTATATAATAAATTTTCAAAAATATTTTTCATCAATTTAAAAAAAAGCAAAAAAAACATTTTTACCCAAAACCTCACTTTGACACCAATTTCATCTTGGAAAATCTCAGTATCAATAAAGAAACCCTTTACCTTTCATTTGATAACCATGGTTAAGGTGCTCGTCAAATTGTAAGATGTCATTTTATTTTCAAAATACCCTTTCTAGACTATATTATGATTCATGAATGTTGATTTTTTAAAATCTAAAACTTATTAAATTTCTTACCCATAAACGATTGGATATATATTCCTTCGCTGAGAGGATCAACCAAACAAACGGCTAAAAGAGAAAAATAATTTTGGTCATTTAATTTAATTTTTTTATTGGGAAGCTGAAGGTGGATGGTGGATCGACTGAACAAAAAAATACCATACTCAATACCGGTCATCATACTGAGGAATAAAGGTTTCTTCAACACAATTTGGCTTTTAGCTATGTACCGTCTTTATGAATGGGTATAGAAATATCTTCAACAGTTGTTCCTGCCTTCCGAAGCACATCAGTTGTTGCCTTGACAACATCTATTACGTCATTCTCGCAACCTTCAAACCCTTCTTTAAGGAAGCCAACCTTCATCCCAGCGATTCCAAGCTCCAACTGTACAAAGAAAAATGTTATGACCAAATTTTTTTAACAGTTAAATGTATTTCAACATGAGATTTTTCTACTGTTTACATATCTTATTAATGGTTGAGGAATAGGAATCGAAGCCAGCCATTGTGAAATATCACTGTGTCTTATGGATTATGGCGACGGCTAGTTTCTACAAGGATGAAGAAAAGAATTTTTTCTTCATCCTAGGTTTCTACAACTACGATGTTTTGAGTACTGGCTATCAATTTATGCTTCATACACTATGTATTGCAATGACTTGGTAAAGAAAATGCCCCTTGGTGTTATGGTCTCAGATTGGTACTTGAATGGAGGGAGAGGGGGAATTAGTCACATTGTTTTCACGTTTGATTGTGATTTGAGATACTTAATTGGGGTGAAATTTCCTTATGACAAGTGAAGTCTTAAATGTTTATTTGTCATGCTGTATTCTGTAACCATTTCTCCCATTAGTACATGCGCTTACATACTACTATGGATTCGACTCACTGTGTAGACTTACCAACTTGGAATATTCTGGAACTGCTCGACCTGTTAATGACCTTGAATCAAAACCGTCATACCCAGCCAAGACCTCCAGTAACAGGGCACAATCGTCCACTGTTCGAGCCATTGGGCCTAGCTGATCAAGCGTACAATCCAAGTAACATGAACCACTGAATGGTACAAGTCCATATGTAGGTTTGAGGCCGATGATTCCACACCAGCTCGCTGGTACTCTTATGGACCCTAGTGTGTCTCCACCCAATGCTAAATCTACTTGTCCATTGGCAACCTAGAAATAGTCAGCTATTTCATGTTTTCATTATTGTGTTAAACATTTCTCCGAGTACTCCTTCCAAGTTTTATGTATTTTTAAATTTTCGATATTATTGCAAGGAGTGTATTTCTAGTTACCAATGCTCCTGAACCTGAACTGGAACCTCCCGAGGATCTGGTAGGATCAGCCGGGTTGGTGACAGGTGGAGTAGACGTGAAACTACTGCCAGAAAAAGTCACATCCTCGCACTGACTTTTCCCCGTAATTCTGCCACCTAAGGACATATTATATGATAATAATGTGGTTGTTCTAAGTTAGTTCTAGATATTAATCATCACTATCATTTACCAATTACTGTTTGTGCATGTTCAATTTCTTAACTTTTAGTCCCGATCATTCTTTATGTTAGCCTTGAATTCCTGTTGCCAAAAATGATTTCTGAAACCCATGTGACAGGACTTCCAACACTCGCTATCACATTAAAGATACCTGTTGAAAGTTGAAAATCTTCGATTGATATTGATTAAATGACATCAAAGACTAGGGATTCTAACTAGCATTACGGCATGCCTATTTTTAGAAAATATTCAACAGTGCTGACTTTATTTCATGTCTGATTTTTTAAAGTATCTTTTTTAATTCAAATAAATTAAGACATTTTCTTTTCGATTCGTCAACTGCAATCTTTGAAGACCAAACGCAAAGAAAAGACCGTTACCTCAACAATGATTCTGGACACTGTTGAAAAACACATACAACCATTCCTCAATTCCTCTTTATCTTCCTCAAAATGTTATTTTCTATTTCTTACAGCAGTTATGTTTTGAAATCGAAAATACTGGGAATTGTAGAAAAATCTGTTTGACCTGCATCTAATACTCTCGTCACGGCAGTTGCATCAAATTCAGGTACGAAGCCTTTGAATATTTTACCACCGTTTGACATTGGGACCCCAGCAACTGCGATGTTGTCTTTAATAGCAATTGTACGGCCATACAACTTGCCCTCCTTTGC